CGGATGATCTCCAGGCTTGCACCCGTGCAGCGACTTCTTCGCCCAGGCATAGGGGGCTCAAGAGCGACTTTTGGGGTTTAGGGAAAGTTTAGGGTTTAGGGTTTGGGGTTTAGGGTTTAGGGTTTAGGGTTTCGCTTTTGGCCTCGTGGGGGCCAAGAAAGTCGGGATTTTGGGGTTTACAGCCGAGGGATATTTAATCAGGTGGGGGTTGTGAAAAGTTCATGCGCGCAGGGCCTAGCGGAGTAATGGAGTAGGGTTTATATTGCTGGTATCCCCAAGAAGGACACCCAACGTAAACACTCACTCATGTTTATCAGTAACCCTAGTTAAGTGCACTCACCAAAACGGGAATGTAAACCCTCCTTCATACCTGCAGCTTGCTGTTTTTTTGGTCTCTTCTTTTATATGGTTCTTGTGGGAGGTATGTAACCCAAGCTAACACTCATCCCCGCTACTCCCTAAGCCTCCCTAATCTTCCCTCATAGGTACCTACCCCCATGAAGAGGGCGTCCTTTCATGTTTGACCCGGCAGTCCAAAAACTCTAAAAGCATGTCAAGCGTTTAGTATCAGGTCTTGCTTCTTTCAATGACCGGGTTTACCTGTGCCTACAAAACAGCAGGTAATAACCCCCCCCCCCGCCCCCCTCCTAAACATGGGAAATCACCCCCCCCCCCCCCCCCACCCCCCCCCCCCCCTCCCCCCCCCCCCCCCCCAAAAAAAAGAGGGGGGTTCAGGGTTTAGGGCTTAGTAGATAAATGGAGCACCAGGTAGCCTTAGAGTAAACTCCATAAAGTTGGAAGATGGTTTAAAGGACGATTAGTGCTGGGATTCCCGTTAGTAACCGTCTTGGGGTATGAGGGCAATGATGCTCCAACTTCTTGGAGTTTACTGTAGGGCTCCGGATTTAGGGCGGCTGGCGGCATGCATCGACATTTAACACCCTGAGCCCTCAACTGAGGGCCTTCGGAGTTTAGCGTTTAGGGTTTAGGGCTGAGGGTTCAGGGCTTAGGGTTCAGGATGTAGGCTTAGGGTTTGGGGTTTCATACTACTAGAGGGCAGAGGGCAGAGGATTCAGGTTGCCTGAATGAAAGAGGAGGCGAAAGTAAAAACCACAAGCCCTTAACCCTAAGCCCTGAACCCTGAACCCTGAACCGGAAACCCTAGACGATACACCCTAGCACGACTCGGCAAACCTCTGCCCTTCTCGAATTAAATCCTGGGGCCAGTTCTGACCCAGGAGTAACCTGGGAATGAAAAGGGTGCCCATTTCAGTTTCGAGGGCCAAACAAGGAACCAAAACCCCAAAAAAAAGGGAACATGGGCCTACTTGGGTCCTAGTCTCTGTACTACGCATGGCACCTGTCTTTCATCGGGGTGATTGTAGGACTGCAAAGTTGTGGCTTTTGAAAGGTTTACGCTAGGAAGGGTCCTCCACCCTAAACCCCGAACACTAAACCCTCAGCCCTAAAGCCGATTCCCTACCTTATCCATCCCCAGCCTGTTTCCTGGAACCCAGAACCCTAGGGTTTAGGGTTTGTGGTTTGGGGCTTAAACCTTAAACCTTAAACCCGAAACCCTAAACCCTAAACCCCAAACCCTGAACCCTAAACCCTAAACCCTACTTGGTGCGAGGTGGCTCTGCGACCGGTCTCCTCACAAGATCCGAGCATGCGTGAGCGGTGCATCAGAGAGGCGCCACTTCTCGCATTCTTATGTGACTATAGTCTACTATTTGCTTAAGAACCCCCCAAGAAAAAACAGTACATGTATATATATATATATATAAGACTCTTCCTGATTATACGGGCAATGTAGGGATTATTGTTATCATATATTTTTGGGCGGTTCCTAAGCAAATAGTAGTACGTAATTGTTATGTTCGTATTGTAGTGTATTCTTGTATTCTTATATTCTTGTCTTCTCGTATTCTTACATTACCATGAAACATGTTCTTACACGATGATAGTCTTATATTCTCATAGTATTATGTTCCTATATTCGTTTATCCGTATATCGTTTTGCACTATTCTTCTTATACACGCAGTGCTGTGGCAGATCGCCCGTGCTGCTGCCATCCGTGAGGGAGTAGACCCGTCCACGCGACACAGCCACCTCCTCCAGGAGCTCCGCGTGGCGGTACGCTCCCATCGCGCGAGGGCGGTTTTGCGCCGCCGTGTCGCACTAGGTGCAGACGCTGACAATGCAGCCATCTGCAGCTAGTCCACTGAACAAGAAGCCTGCTCTGTACTCCATGGCGTCACTCTTAGTGGCGAAGCCCGATTTCAGAGGCGGAACAAAGGCAGACAGCTGGCCGCTGCCTGTAGGCAGTTCGGTCCGCGTGACCCAGCCACAGGCGGCATCGTATGTCTGCGCCCGTTGCATTCCCATAGAGTTGGGTGTCTTCGCATCGCCCTCAAAGTAGGGTAGGTGTTCTCCCGAGGAGTTCCGCAAGGGCACACTCACATGCGCTTGCCGGTGCCAAGGGGTGTCTACGAGCATGTTTGCATGTGTGACGTGTTGCGTGATGCCGTTTTGTCCTCGCGTCGCCCTCAGAAGTAGGGAGCGCCGGCCTGGAGCTCAGCTCATTCAACTTTTGACCACATCATGCTTCTGCATCCTTCTTCCTCCTTGACGGTCACCGCTCTTGATTGCAAGAGATGCCCAAGATACCCGGGGCTTTTTCAGCCACCAATGCTCTAGGTTCATAGCCAGGCGCTTCAAGGAAGAGTTGGCCAAAGCTGGTCTTACACATTCTTAGATTCTAATACTCTTATGTTCTAAAATTCTCGTATTATTTTACTCTTCCGTTCTTATATCCTTATAGATGCTTATATTCTTGTACTCAATATACTCTTTTGTTCTTATACTCTTCTACTCCTGTACTCTTATGTTCTTACATCATGATCTTCTTATACTCTTATCGCCATGGCAACGTTCTCGACACGCCGGCTGGAGCGCTGGAGCTTCACAGGGTCTCGTAAGGCCCTCATGAATATTGGGGTGTCAGCTTTAGTCCAAACATCAGATACTGGCAAAATCATATGTAATACTAGTAATACCACACTACAGTAGCAGAGTCATCTACGAATCTAACATACTGACATAACATAATCATACTGGGAATAACTCAGAATATCCGTAGTATAGCAATGTCATAGCAGAGTAACCTGATCATATGAGTACGTAACCCTAAAGCCTAAAGCCCAAAGCCTAAAGCCTAAAGCCTAAAGCCTAAAGCCTAAAGCCTAAAGCCTAAAGCCTAAAGCCTAAACCCTAAACCCTAAACCCTAAACCCTAAACCCTAACCGTGAAGAGGCAACAGCTGAGATTCTGTCGGCGTGAACGCCCAAACTCCAAAGTGCGGTTGGGGGGGGGGGGGGGGGGGGTTGGGTTTAGGGTTTCGGGTTTAGGGTTTCGGGTTTAGGGTTTCGGGTTTAGGGTTTAGGATGTTTAGGGGTCAGGGGTCAGGGTTTAGGGTTTAGTTGGGGATTTGGGTTTAGGGTCTATGGTTTGGGGGAATGCGGGCTTGAGGTTATGCTATTTCCCACGTTGCATGAAATATCATTGATGGCAAGTATGCCATTAGTTGTATTTACCCACAGCATAGTCAGAGTCTTGGGATCCTGATACAATATAGTCTGCAAATAATAAGGCAATCGCGACCTGCAATTTGCACGATCGCTTGGGGGATTATGCGATGAATTTTGGAATATGGCATCCGATACAAGCGAAACACTGATCGTTCCTCTACATGCTGTAGTGATCCAATCAAACAAGCCAGTTTCATTGAGACTTGCCCCAGACCAGAATTCCGATTAGTCCTTACTCACCCCTGTTTCAGGGCAGCTAGCAAGACGAAAGAAACCTGCCAACTCCCCTGTAAGAGTTCTTAGTATCTTACTACAGCAACATATCAAGACACTGATATAAATTCACAACCACTCATTGTCATATTTACGGACACCGCTTGGTGGATGTCACTGGAAAGCATGCGCCGACGTGTGAATGTAGAGACCATCCATCGGAGGCTTGCGTTTAGGGTTTAGGGTTTAGGGTTTCGGGTTAGTGATTTAGTGATTAGGCTGAGGTTGCCTCTTACCCGCCTCGGGCGTTGGAAAGCATTCGGATTCGAGGGGTCTCCACGAACGTGTGCTTCGGTTTCGGATGCCCTACCCACAGAGTGCCCGAGCACCGCTGGGTCCTCTGCACACCGTTGGCCGGGTGTGGGGTGCGCCAAGTCAACTTACACTGGGAGCGGGTCGCCGGTGCGAGTCGCCCAGCCACCCCACCAAGTCCCTGAGTTGCCAGGAGTCTGAGGCCAACCCACGGTGCCTTGGTGGATGACAATGAGACGATGCGCTAACGTGCTCATTGGGCTCCTGTGCTGTCGCTTCCTCGCACTGCGAGGAAGCAAAGAAAAGTGGGGAGGCCTCGTGATGTTGAAGTTTATCCATTGTTCGGTTCCAGGTCCAGAACGTGGTTTGAGACTCAGGTTTCAGACACTGGCCAGTTGTAGCACTAGCTTGTTCCGAAGGTTTGGGAGGCTTCGGTCTTTGTGACGTTTTTGTTCTGACCTCTGTTGCGCAGATTCGCGCTTTCGGTTGGACATTGCATGAGAAGGTTGCCGCAGGGCTGCCAGCTTGCAAGGTCTTTTGAGCTCCCACACTACAGTACCCGAACAAGTTGCTGCAGTGGTGTATCGCCTGGGTGCTTCGTTTTTGGATGCCCTACCCACAGAGTGCCCGAGCACCGCTGGGTCCTCTGCACACCGTTGGCCGGGTGTGGGGTGCGCCAAGTCAACTTACACTTGGAACTGGGTCGCTCGCGGAGTCCGCGAGCCACCCCACCAAGTCCCTGAGTTGCCAGGAGTCTGAGGCCAACCCACGGTGCCTTGGTGGATGACAATGAGACGATGCGCTAACGTGCTCATTGGGCTCCTGTGCTGTCGCTTCCCGCGCGAGGAAGCGAACAGTGGGGAGGCCTCGTGATGTTGAAGTTTATCCATCGTTCGGCTCCAGAATGTGTTTTTCAGATTCTCAGGTTTCAGACCTTGGCCAGTTGTAAGACAAGGGCACGGTGGCGTAGGCTTAGCTTGTGCCGAAGGTTTTCAGGTTTCGGTTTGTGTCACGTCCCTTCTTCTGATCTCTGCTCTGCAGACTGGCGGTGGTTGGATGGCTCGGCTTCGACTGCCAGAGTGCCAAACGGGTTTAGGGTTTGGGGTTTAAGGGTTAAGGGTTAAGGGTTTGGGGTAAACCCTAAACCCACGCAAGTCCCCTCAGCCTCCTACCCTCTCACCCCCCATAAGCCCTCGAAGCCCTAAACCCTATTCCCTGGAACAGAAGACCATGCCGAAATGCAGGCTGCGGATCTTTCGGGCTTGGGCCCCTGGAATTGGGAAGTTTTGGGTCCGGGCGGGCGGGGGGGGAGAGGCTAAACCCTAATCACTAAACCCTAAACCCTAAACCCTAGACCCTAGACCCTAAACCCTAGTCCTTTGCGCACTTTGAAGGTCTGGGTGCACCGGAACTTAGAGTTTAGCTGGGTTATCGTGTAGGGTTTGGGGGTGCACTGGCGGGGGGGGGGGGGGCCAAACCCTAAACCCTAAAACCCTAAAACCCTAAAACCCTAAAACCCTAAAGCCCTAAAACCCTAAAACCCGAAAACCCTAAAACCCTAAAACCCTAAACCCTAAGACCCTAAAACCCTAAAACCCTAAAACCCTAAAACCCTAAAACCCTAAAGCCCTAAAGCCCTAAAACCCTAAAACCCTAAAACCCTAAACCCTAAAACCCTAAAACCCTAACCCTCTAACCCTAAATCCCCAAAACCCTAAAACCCTAAAAACCCTAAAACCCCAAAACCCTAAAACCCTAAAAACCCTAAAACCCCAAAACCCTAAAACCCTAAAAACCCTAAAACCCTAAAAACCCGACACCCGAAGCCCAAGCATGCGCAAGGCGAGCGACATGTCCTCTTTGCAGGCCCTGGCTGCCATGAGTGCCAATCCTAGGTAGGATAAGGGGGACCCTAGGATTTTAGGGTTTAGGGTTTAGGGTTTAGGGTTTAGGGTTTAGGGTTTAGGGTTTAGGGTTTAGGGTTTAGGGCACCCCTTCTGAATCTTCTTGTGGCTCTCTTAAACCAGGGACCTTATTCAGAGGGTCTATGGCCCCAAGGGTCCCCCCAATCCTATCCCCTAGTCAAGCACCGGCCTTCAGGATCCGTACCCGGAAGGGTTTAGGGTTTTTTGGTGTTTTTTGGGGTTTTTAGGGTTTTTAGGGTTTTTTAGGGTTTTTTTAGCATCTTTTAGGGTTTTTAGGTTTCTTTAGGGTTTTTGGGGTTTTTAAGGTTTTTAGGGTTTTTTTAAGGGCTTGTTTAGGGTTTTTTGGGTTTTTAGGGTTTTTAGGGTTTTTAGGGTTTTTAGGGTGCTTAGGGTTTTTAGGGTTTTTAGGGTGCTTAGGGTTTTTAGGGTTTTTAGGGTTGGTGAGCCCTGACTTTTCTAACCCGGCGCCGTATCAACCATGAAAGAAAACTATCCCACACTTGGCGGTTCTGGCTCCAGGGTCTCACATACAGGAATTAGACCCTAAACCCTAAACCCTAAACCCTAAACCCTAAACCCTAAACTGTGGAGCCCGGTTTGGGAGTTCGGTGTTCGAGAGATCGTCACGGCTTGGGGTTTAGGACAAGGTCTTCAGCTCGGGGGTGTGGCAGCCTTCCCCACAAGCTATGTTTAGGGTTTAGGGTTTAGGGTTTAGGGTTTAGGTTTTAGGGTTTAGGGTTTAGGGTTTAGGGTTTAGGGTTTAGGGTTGCCTTACAGCTGCCGGTCCCCCGCCCCCTTTCTTCCTCCCCTCCGTCACATCCTCAGACAGCTCATGTAACCTGAAAGCCTAAACCCTCAACCCGATACTGGTCCCTCGGTAGCCCAGTGGTACCCTTCAGCCATTTTGTGGTCTTAGCTTCCCGAATAAAGTAGCCAACCCCAAAAAGGTGCCCCTATTACAATATTGTTACTACCGAGGATAAGCCCTAAGCTTAGCACCCCACCCTCAGCCCCCTTTCAGTGCTATGTTGGGGGGGGGGGGGTTCCCAAAATAGGGGTAGCCCGTTTTGGCTATTCACAGGAAGGAGTACTTGGAGGTTCAGGGTACTTATTCCAAGTGTAGTTATCACCCACATATAAGCCACTTGAGAACCCGTATGATGGGGTGACTAAGTACCATGAACCTCCAAGTAGAGTATCTTGAGGCATACCCCCCCCCCCCCCCCTCCACCCACCCCCACGTTGGGGATTGCCTGCTTCCGCTGGCTTTCAGATCAAGGGCTGGGCCTAGAGTCTAGGGTCTAGGGTCTAGGGTCTAGGGTTTTAGGGTTTTAGGGTTTTAGGGTGTAGGGTTCAAGGGCTGGGCATAGAGTCCCAGCCCGAAATTGGTGCCATGGGCTGCTCAGAGAGTACGGTGGCGGAGGACGTCACCATCATTGAGGCGGTGGCGGGCACGGAG